TTGCAGGCGCAGACGGCAGCTCGCTCTAGAAGAGCTGATTATATTTTGTTTTGCCCACAGCTGTCTCTCCCCACCGTCCTTATCTGTCGTCATAAATGTCCACACCTGTGTGATGTTTTATGCTAGGTCACACCTGCCGGAACAGCACTGTTGTCATGTTTCAGATATGCCGCCTAATACGTATATCAGTAAACCTCGTGGCAGGAATAGAAAACAGCTTCTGTTCCAACCCTTCCCACCTGCTACCATCCCGCTTCTGTTGCCCTTGACCTCCTGTGGAGGTCACCAGGCTGCAGACCCACCAGGCTGTGTGAGAGGACTCTAGTGCCTGGATATATTCCTGCTCCCTTCCTGCACCCAGCCTCTTCTGGGCATCTCTCAAGGCTCAGCACAAAGGCTGGGGTGAAGCCTTCTGGAGCCCCCCAACCTCCCAGGTGGATAGGCTGTCGTCTTCACTCCCACACAGCTTTACCTATTACAAGCCTCTGCTAGAGCGCTCGTCCCATCATGCTTTTTTGGATGTTACAAAGGAGTGAATAAATGAAGCCTTTGTTTTTCCTACCCAGACCTTCCAGAAGGAACTTCCTTGGGAGTCTTTGAAAGTCCTTTTAATGAGACCAGACCGGCTAATAAATTTCTTTTCTTGACAGTTGCAAATACTTGGTGTTTGGGAAATAAGCCACATAACAAGGGCTTAGCCACATAACGAGGGCTGACTGAGTTGCGAGCTGGCCTTGACTTGGTTAGAAAGTGCAATGGGAACGGGAGTCAGAATTGGAATGTGGGCAACAGAGCAGGGACACAGATGTCCTGTCGCCAATACCAGTGTTAGAACGCTGCTCTGCCGAGCTCGCCCCCCTGGGGCCAGCGCTGAAGGCAAGACCACCGTAGTGGGTGCCTCTGTATTAGCGCTGTGCTGCTGACCCCAGGCTGAATCACCTGGGGACTGTAACAAAATCCCAGGACCTGGGCTGCCCCCCAGACCAGCTGAGTCAGAAACTCGGGGAGGGACCGGGCATCTGAACTCTTAAGCGTTTCCCAAGTGCTTCCAATCTGAAGGTAGCTTTGAGAACCACTGGGTTGAAGAAGGCTGTTTCAACGTGTGGGGTTGAAGATGAGGTTGGGAGGACTCACCTGGCTTCTCTGTTCTTTTTCATAAGGTACATAGAGACCTGCTAATCCTTACAGGTATAGCTGTGTGTGCACATGGTCAGAGGCTGTGGATTGTGGATTTTGACAACGGGGCACGGACTTACACATTTGGTGGAAGACTAGATCCACATAACTCTCCTTCCTCCCATTCCTTAGCAGCACACGGCCCAGAGTCTCCGGAGATAGAACTCAGCCTCTACAAGCCTCTCAAATTCTCCTGTCCATTTCTCTTGCCACTGTACTGACTTTGCCTTTCCTCTCTCTTTTCTCAATAATAGTTTGCTGGCATTCCTCTCTCCACTCTTCTGTCAGTCCATTGCCACACAATGGCCACACCCAGCATCTTTTGCTTTGATGTTGCCCGATGCCCACAGTTAAATGACAATGGTTATAGATAGCCCTTTCCAGCATTTACTCCTGTATGTTGTTGACTCCTGGCTCCTGGCACTCCTTTCCCCATTTTATAGATGGGAAAGTGAAAGCGTAGGCGAATGGTGCAAGGTCACAGAGTCAGGATGGCCCCGGAGTCCTGCCTCTGCACCCCTCTGCTTTGCTTCCTCTCCCTACACTCTCCTGCCAGGAAGGGAAAGGCAGCTCTGTGCTAGCAGACCTTTCATTATTTCCAATCTTGTACATCCTGCCTGGTTGATGTTCCTGTTCCTGCTTCACAGAAACCAGGGCTTGGACAGGTGAAGCAACTTGATCGACATTATAGAGCTAATTAAGGGAGTAATAGCTGGGATTCAAACCAGGTGTTCCTCTCTCCGTGCTCTGCATTTTTTCCACCACACTGCTCGGGATTGCCTAATTTCTTTAGGGTGGCATCTGTAGCTCTTTAGAATCTGTCACCAATCCATCTTTCCAACCATTTTCCATTCCTTTATTAAGTCATGCCACCAACTTTTGCTCACACTGTTGCCTTAGCCTGGAATATTCTTCCCTGCCCAGCTAGGACTATCAGACCTCCCGTGATGATGGGGACTCTTACCTTGCTGGGAATACCCTGTGTGGAACCTGCAAACAGCAGGAGGGAGGGCTATTTGCATTTTCTCTCTCTAGCTCAAAAGCCCTAATATAAGGCATCTCCTCTTGACCACCCCCCTCCTGTGATGGCTGCAGCATGAGTGTAATATCCAGTCACTTTGTGATGTAGTTGTGCATATCTGTCTGCTAGGTGGCATCTTAAGGCCAGGTGTCATCTCTTCCTTTTTTTCTCTGTGTGGGTGTGTGTCTAGGGCATTGCCAAGCCACTGTAGAGGTTTAATATTTGTTAAAACAGATGAAGGTGGACTAGAATACAGAGGTGGGGAAAGTCTTAAAAATATTCCATCCAAGGGACTTTGGCAGGGCTGCAGGGCATAGAACAGTCGGGGATGTATTTATTTGAAGGCCTAGGGAAATGTATGTTGGAAATTTCCAGAAGGAAACGGAGCTAATGATTATCCCAGTGAACTAATCTAGCATGTCCATTTTTCCAAATAGGGTTTTGTTTTGTTTTCTTCAGGTATGCTTTGCCAACCTAGTAAAAAGCCCCTGGCCCCCTGTGCCCTCCCAGCATGGACTTCCTAAATAGGGTGTCGTTGGGAGTGTGTGAAAATGGACTTCAGGGCTTGCGCAGGACACCTGAGCCCTACAGGATGGTGGCCACCTGTGGGGAAGGAGAAGTGGTGTTTCCCAAATACAGGCAGAACCTTTCAGGATGGAAACAGGTGCCAAGAAAAAACTTCCTTGCTTTTGGGAAAGTTAATTCTTTAGCCATCGAATTAGGGTTGTCCTACTAAGTAAATATTTTTTGGACTCTTCAGGTTTAAGTCCCTTGTCACAGTTGCCTTTTGCATCCTGGTCCTGTCAACCCCGCTGAGGGGCAAGGGCCGGGCCCGCAGGTGTACCGCGAGGCCGGAGGGGGCTGCGTCCCAGGTGGTGTGCGTTAGCACTGGCCTTGAGATTTCCTTTTGCACCCCGCAGGTGAGCGTCCTGACCACCCTGGAGCGGAGGTTCAACCTGCAGAGCGCCGACGTGGGCGTGATCGCCAGCAGCTTCGAGATCGGGAACCTGGCGCTCATCCTCTTCGTGAGCTACTTCGGGGCGCGCGGGCATAGGCCGCGCCTCATCGGCTGCGGCGGCATCGTCATGGCCCTGGGCGCGCTGCTGTCGGCGCTGCCCGAGTTCCTGACCCACCAGTACAAGTACGAGGCGGGCGAGATCCGCTGGGGCGCCGAGGGCCGCGACGTCTGCGCCGCCAACGGCTCCGGCGGCGACCAGGGCCCCGACCCGGACCTCATCTGCCGCAGCCGGACCGCCACCAACATGATGTACTTGCTGCTCATTGGGGCCCAGGTGCTCCTGGGCATCGGTGCTACCCCCGTGCAGCCCCTGGGCGTTTCCTACATCGACGACCACGTGCGGAGGAAGGACTCCTCACTGTACATAGGTAGGAGCTGCGGCCGTGCCCGCGCGCTTCCCTGGGCTCCATGCTCTGTTAGTAACCGGGGCGCGTTGACAGAGGAAGGCAAGGTGGGCCCGTGAACTTTTTATGGTTCTCAGACTTGGCTGCACATCTGCCGGGTGTGTGGTGGGGGAGCTTTGAAAAATGGGGATGCCTGAGTTGTACCCCCAAGAAAATCCAGTGTAGTTGGTCTGGGGTGCCACCGGCGTGGATTGCTTTTTTGAAAAAGTCTCCCCCGGTGATTTCAATGCACAGTGGAATTTGAGGTTGGCTTTGCTAGGGCATTAGGAAGCTATGAATGCAAAGACATGGTCAGGATGGGTTTAACGTGTATTTACCTGCTTTTCATGTGTGTGTGGACTTAGCTCTCTGGCATTAGCCACCAAGGTATACTTGGGGTCTACACCTTGGAAACCCCAGTTTTTAATAATCGAAATGATCATCTGGTCATTGTCCTATTGAAGTTCAAAGGGGGAGAAATGACTGTCTTCTCAGCATTTGGTATCATTCAAAGGTGGTGACTTCTGGTAATTCTGCAACGAGGGTATACACAGGAGCTGGATATTTAGGAAGAACTAAGGTCCGTGTGAGTTGTTCAAAAATTATTTTGCGTCCTAGCTTCTGATATTTTCAACTGGCAAGATGGAAGCCATTCACGGGTCTAAGGTTAAGCAACCTCGAAGTGTGAGTTTTTCTTAGAACAAACGGGGGTCCTCTGTCACTGCCTTAGGGCACTGTCGTATGGCCATTTGTAGGGTGAGGGCCTGCCGCGCATCTCTGTCCCTTGTTCACTAAGTGTAATTTGGCCTCCCACAAACAGTTGGATTGTAAAGACCTGTCCCCACTCAGTGCTGAGCTTTGACAGAATTACCTCTTCCTGTGGAAACGTTTTGCTTCCTGGAGCACCGTTAATTACCATACAGAGGTTTAGGATAAAATAGAATTTGAACAGAATGTGACCTGAAGCTTTGTACCTGTTGAGTTTCCACCATGCACTGCCCGAGGTTTCTGAGCTAGGAGGGTTTGGAATAGTTATACACTTTCATGCCGAGTTTCCTCAGTGGCTTTCTGTCCCAGCTATGGAGTACATGCTTTTGTTGGACAAATATGTTGCAAATATATGTTTCCTGTTCTTTGAGAACAGACTTAGGGTGAGAAAGGTGGAGTGTGTGTCCTCTCTCTAAAGGGGTAGATCACCTGGAGCCTGGTCGTGACTTAGCTTCCACTACGATGTGGAACCCAACATAGAAGATATCCCAGGCTGAGGCCAGGCCCTCTCCCCATGTAGTCCGGGTGGGTACTAAAGGTACTAAGGACATCATTTACATTTGTTCTTTCTAAAGCTTGAGCAACAGCCACTCCATGTGAGTCTGACGCAGACTAGGACATGGGCCACAGCATTGAGCCAGATAGCTTCCTGAGGTCCATCCAGACCGTTGGTCTTGGACTTGACTGATGTCACCCTAGACCCTGGGAGAGCTGTTTTCTGGTAGTAGTCATAGCAAGTACATAAATCAAAGCACAGAAAAGGAAGTGGGGAATGAATAGCCGAGTTCTTGTCTCTGATGATAGAATCTAGCCGAAAAATTCCTCCCCGGAATCCTTCCTCAAGTCCTGTCAGGGCTGAATCACCTTGGCTTGGGACTTCCTGCCTGGGGCAGCAGGCCCAGAACCTGCTTCTGGAAGTCTTCCCTGCTGAGTTAGGTCATGATCTTTCCCTGCAGTGGGCGGGACCTGGTTTGTGTGTGCAAAGCTTTAGGGTGAGGAGACGCTTTGGTTTTGTGTGTGGCAGGTGGGCCGTTAAAGGCAGAGGGCCTTCTCCAGTTCTGAGACCATGGGATTTGCTGTGAGTCTTTGTTGGGAAGAATGTTTCAGGCAAATTTCTACTTGGGTGCCATTTTTTTTTTCTTCTGTGATAAACAGAGTTGGAAATATCTGTGTGGCACATGGACCTCTTGGCGCTGGTCCATCTGGCAAATTCCAAAACATGACCGTACACAGCTGTTGAGATGGGCTCTCTGAGTGCCTCTGAACTGGTTTCATGGGTACATGTTTACAGGGAGAAGAAAAGAGTAAGCCTTCTGGGGGAGATCAGCCCAGTATGTGGTCTTACTATCCCATGCATGCTTGGGATTCTCCAGGAACAATTTAAGAAGACCACAGTATATGCAGAGTATAACTGGTTCGCTCATTTATTGTACAGGACATAAAATAATGTGATCACAGGAATATTGTCGCCTTTATCTCCTCTAATGGGGAGCTACTTCCTTTTTTTTTTAAAGATTTTATTTACTTAGCGCACGTGAGAGGGGGAGGGTCAGAGGGAGAAGCAGACTCCCTGCCGAGCAGGGAGCCCAATGCTGGACTCGATCCCAGAACTCCAGGATCATGACCTGAGCCGAAGGCGGTCGCTTAACCAACTGAGCCACCCAGGCGCCCAAGGGGAGCTACTTCCTGAAGCCACTTAAAGTTGTGGGAAGTATATGGGGGAACCCACTAGAAGGGACTGCTGCATTATGGCCTTTTATACCTGCCTGCAGAGAGGAGGAAAGTCTGAAGGGACTGGCGCTGGGACTGTGTAGTTGCGTGTCCATCAGGGTGGAACAGCCTGTGTGTCCCCTGCTTCCAGCACCTGTGAAGCCATCTGGCCATATGCCTAAAACGTGAGTGTGGGCTGGAGATGGAAAAGATGATCAGTAGCTCCTTTGTCAACCACAGACTTGTTCACAGCTGATCCTTTCCTCTGGGTGTCCACAGGCCGTTGGCAACAAGACCTGCCCCTGGGGTGTGCGCGTCCTGGGTCCCCAGTCTTGGGGTGTGTGCGCTCCTGTGTGGCCATGTCGTGGACCCTAGAATGAGGGGGACATGGAAGTCTTCCATCTCAAGTCCAGCCGATATTGTCCACTGAAATGACTGTTGGCTTTGGACAGTTGTGGCCAGACCACGGCCAAGCTCCTGAATTCCTGGATGGGCCATTCCCCAGGGGCTTCTCTGGCTGGCACCATTCTGCAGCTGCCCCTTTCCAGCACGGGGAGGGAGCCAAGGGAGCTCATTACCAGGGGACAAAAGCAGCTGAATGGGGACATGGCTCTGCTGGCAGGCTTTTCACAACCATATGACATGGAGCCAAGCCTCACCGAGCAGCTAGACAATGACCTGTGGGTGGCACGTGGCACTCTTTCTTCCGAGCGGGACTGATGGGGCAGCGTGGCAGTGGAGACCGTTGGATGTGAGGCATGACCAGGGTCCAAGAGTCGCCCCTTTGGGATTCTCCTCAGTGAGCCTCTGGCCCATGATGTGACCTTCCATGAGCTCCGTGTTAGCTGTTCTGTTTCTCCAAGTTTAAAACCTGGCCTGTCGTATTGTGGGCGAGGGTAAGTAGAATAATGTGATGGACTCACTGTTTCCCTCATTAGGTTGACTGTAACCTTGTTCTCTTTGAGGAGGAAAAAGGTGAAATGAGAGTGGTAGAGATTTTTTTAAATAACTTTATTCCTAGTTAAAAAGTATGACATAAAGTATGACATAAAAAGTATGTCACTGTTGACAACTTCGGAAGTATGAAGAAAGAATAAAGAAGCACTACTCTTAGCTTTATGATTATATAATGTCTTTATTTTCTGCATTGGTATGATTTTCTACCAAAAATGTGTTTCAGGGGTACCTGGGTGGCGCAGTTGGTTAAGCGTCTGACTCTTGGTTTTGGCTCAGGTCATGATCTTGCAGTCCTGAGATTGGGACCTGTGTTGGCCTCCACGCTCAGCGGGGAGTCTGCTTGAGATTCTCTCTCCCCCTCTGCCCCCCACACTCATGTGTGCGCACGCTCTCTCCCTCCCCCCCCAGTAAATAATCTTTAAAAATGTGTTTATAACATCTCTCTCAATATTTGATGCATATTGTCTCATGTTACTAAATAGTCTCCGGTGCTACTACTGTAAACATAACATTCTCTTGTGGATCTGTACCACGATGTTTAATGCCTTCTCTTTTTGGACATGCGTTTTTTTAAAGTGTTCACTGTTGTAAATGAGGCAGACAGGGGGACGATTCTGAGAGGTTCAGGGACTTGCCTGAGAGAAGTTAGCTGAATGGAGCTGGACTCCAGGTCTGAGGGCGGGGGTTTTCCCATGTTCGTCTGGGATCTGTCACAAGGCTGGGGTTGTGGGGAGAGGGCCAGTGGATGGTCCAGGGGGTCAGGTACAAGTCAGGGCATTGCACAAGACAGCGTGAAGGCTTCAGGAAATAAAAATCACAGAAGCCAGCAAGGAGGAAAGAGCGCAGGGTGCCTCACAGCTAAGGGGAGAGGTGGGATCGGAATGAGAAGTGGGTGTCACAGCCCGAGATGTGGGAGGAGGAGGGAGAGGGGAGGGTGGTCCAGGCTAACAGTCCAGGGTGGGGTTCTGGAGCCTTCTCCAGGGTGGGTGCAGATTAGAGCTGGCCCTTCTTAGGCAGGGGCAGCTGGTGTATTCCTCCTTCTGCTTCCCTGTCTCCAGCAATGCAGGGGCCCTCCCCTCACATGGCTCTTCATTCCCTTCATTTTTTTTTTTTTTTAAGATTTTATTTATTTGACAGAGAGCGAGAGAGGGAACACAAGCAGGGGGAGAGGGAGAAGCAGGCGTCCCATGGAGCAGGGAGCCTGATGTGGAGCTCGATCCCAGGACCCTGAGATCATGACCTGAGCCGAAGGCAGATGCTTAACGACTGAGCCACCCAGACACCTCTCTTCATTCCCTTCTTGAACCATTATAGCCATTAGGCTGTTGTGATAGAAATCTGGCTCCTCACAGCTTCCCACATGCTGCTCCTGGTTCTGCCCCATGGGCTCACCCCGAAAACTTGCATTCTGTCTTCTATGTTGTGACAACTCCCCAGATAGTGGAGCACCAGTCTCTCATGGGTAGGGAAGGGTTGGTTACCTGCTGCTTAGCTCTTCTGTGCCAGGACCTTTGTTCCTTCCTCGATTTGGTTTCCTGCCACACTTGAGA